CAAAAGCAATAACTTCTTCTTGAAGGACTTCCTTCCCTCGAGTGCTGGTTTTAAAGCGAATGGAAGTTGCGGTTTTGCATGTCAATAACTATGGTGCCAGAGGGGAGGCGTTTAACCTGCCCATCCCCGAGCTACGGATAGTAGTGTATAATACGTTCTTTTCCCGCTCTTACTACTCGCTTTGATTGCTATTTAGATGAGCCCCTCTGACGGAGCTGCGAAGCGGACAGAAGGCCCCAAAACCTGTCGGTTGATTTTCGATGGTTGTTGAGTTCGATTTTTTGTTTTTTTTTTGGCAAACGATTATCGGTGGGGATTGATCACACTTATGCTTGGCGGCTAGTTTGAAAGAAGTGCTTCTGACCTGGAGTGATCTGGGAAATGGATCATGTGGTGGAGCCTTGTTTGCGATGAGAGCTTGTTGGCAAAATGTTCACAAGTTGGGAATGAATTAAATTTAAAACAGAGCATAGGCCTTTTTAATGCATCACCAACGTAGAGGGCACCACGCGAGTTCGAGAGGAAACGTCAAACAAACCGTTTGTTTACATCAGAAGAAGAATTTTTCACAACGCAAATTAAAGCATTTTCCATTGAACATGTTGCCAATTTCCATCAGTTTTCGGAGGCGAACCAGCCTCAGGCTGAAAGCCTCCCTAATAAAGAAAATTTAACTTCCATCAGTAGTAGTCTTGTTTAACGATTTTCTACACATCTGAACGGATTTGCACCTAAACTATTCACACAAAAGAAATCCGGAAGATCATAACCACTAAGGCACTGTTGGAATTTTGCATTTTTCTCAGCAAAAATATTCCTGAACACAAGCAGAATCCTTGCAAAAATGATACAGAATTAAATGTTTCAACTATAAATCAAGTTTTTGAGCATCTCAGATGAATCAATTTATCAGGAAAAGTGAAAAAGTGTTCCGCTTCCAATGCCTCACGGCACAAATTTCTGCTCACAAAACCTTTTTTTTTTTTGACGTGCTCATATTCACCACCAGAGGTTGAATCGACCGCTTAGTTTCTATTAAAAAGGCGTATTGGTAGGTTGATGCTGTTGTTAGGACACTAGGAAACCTCAGCTGAGATTGATCCTGGGGATGAGAAAACACTCAACCATCGGAACCATCATTGAAAAAGTTGTCGATTTCAAAATTGTATGCTTATCTTTGCGCATTTTGTTTTTTCATCGCTATAAAGGGTGTATCCAATAAAAATGGCACACACATATTTACTCACCAAAATTAAACCGATTATCGGATTTTCTTGAAATTTTCACGAAATGACAAACTACTAATGAGTAATCCAGAGTTTAAGTTGTTTTTACCCAAATTTTCTTCAATTCCAGCTCTGTTTTAATAGTTTTGGGATGTTTGTGAAGTTCCGTTTTCATAATTGCCCAGAACCAGTGCTGAGATTTGTCATTGTCATTGACAGACTTTTGCGCGATATTGACAAAATTGTTTGTCACATAGTCAATGATAGACTTGATCCTCAAAAAAATCTTTGTCAAAATCTCATTCATTTTTTCGTCAATGACAAAGATTCACCTGGTAACAGAAAGGGTAATTTCTTGCATTCTGACTCACATTATTGTAATTAAAGCTTTTCAGGACGTAGATGCTTGTTCACTTTAATGGCTCCATGTGAATGTTTTCCTCAAGACATTTAATTTCATTTTAAATTAAGCTAATAAACAAATCAGCACATGTTCGTCACTGACAAAAATGCCACTGACAATTGACATGGTTTGCCTTGACGATGACTGTTAGCTCAAACGAGTGACCAAAGCAGAATTTTGAGTATCACCGTGTATTGTCGAAATTGTGCAGCACTGCCCTTTTTTATCAAATGTTAAATTCAGTCCTACATAGCCGTAATATGCACGCCAAGGCTAAAACCTACTTTTTTTATCTACTACTAACGGGTGTTCAATAAAAAATGAGAATGATTTCAGTGCCGTCCAGCGCTCTTGTGAGAGCATCGTGGCTATGTTGCGTCGTACGGCTGACCATTATGTAAACATTATGTTTTAAAAAAATACTGAAAACAATTTTTTTATATATGGCTGAAAAAATTCTATTTTTTATTGAACACCCGTTATTAAATCAAATATTAAAAATCCATCATCACCATCGTGGCAACAAAAATAGTTTTTGCAGTGTTTCAATAATTATTAAAAAAGTCATTATGACAGCTATCCATACAAAATAATCCGTTAGAGATAACTTCAAAAAGATACATAACTTGTCAATTTATAAAAAAAAAATCACTGGATAACTGTTCAAACGACTGTTTTAACGTGTGAAATGTAGTGTATTTAAAATTCTTTAAGTGTTGCTGAACGTTTTATTTGTCTATGCATCGAATTGAAAACATTTATTCCTTTAAAAAACATTGAATTTTGTGAAGCTCAAGTCAAGAAGTGTGGTGTTCTTATTTCAACCACGTTTCTAGTATTATATCTATGAAAGTCACTTCGTCTTTCAATTCGATCAAACAAATATCGAGGCAACAAACCGTTAACTACTTTAAAAATGAACACCATACTCAAATATACAATTCTTTGCTTCACCGACAACCATTATAAGGCGTCTAGCATCAAAGTTGAGCAATAGTTAAATCATTTTTCAATCGACATAGAATTCCATACTTCTTGGCAATTATCTTGATGACATTGTCAATGTGAGAGTTGAACTTAAGGTTGTCATCAATAATCACGCCAAGATATTTATTCTTCCGAACGTGATCAATAGTCTCATCATCAATTACAACAGAGACGTTCTCATTTACTCGATTCCGCAAAATTACCATCAATTTAGTTTTACTTGTATTGAATTCCATACTTTCATACTTCAACCATCTACCTAAGCAAATCTTCATTCAAGTGTGAAACGGCATCATCTAAATCCTTCGCTGCAATGTATAACACAGTATAATCTGCAAAAAGATTAATGTCGCAAAATCGTAAAACACGTCGTAAGTAATTAATATACACAATAAATAACAGGGGCCCTAATACACTTCCCTGGGGCCCTCGAAGGTTATTCCCCACGGGACTGGAAAAATATTCATTAAAACAGTCCGTTTAGCTCTATCAGACAAATAGCGTTGAACGCAGTACTCGTAATTCCAAAGTGGCTAGAAATTGTTTCAAAAGCGCGTTTCAGATCCAAACAAACAGTTACAATCGTATATTTACGCTCTAAGTAATTTTTCCACTTTGTTAATACCAAATTCAACGCAAAATGCTTCTAATTTTGGCCCATACATAAATGCAGCAATCGACTAAATGTTCAATAGCCACCAAAAATATCCATAAGAACCGCCCTAATAACGCGTTCATCTAGAGAAAATTGACAAATAGCAGATTTATAGCGATGTGCCCAATCGTAGATCCATAGGCCAACATTAGAGCCATTTCCCCTACATGAAATAAAAATAATCACTTGTGACAATCCTTTTTCGTTAAATTTATTTTTCTAACCTCCTTATATATTAACAGGTAAGGAATATATAACATATGTATAACAAATAACTGAATAAAATAAATCAGTTTATGACTCCTTATTCTTGCGAATTTGTTAATAGAAGTTTTGACATCAATTTTCATCAATATTTCGTACTGAATGTTCATAATCAGTAACCAATTAAGTCTGGTGTATAGCTTCTCTCATTTTATTTTTCACTCATTTAAATGTATCTTGAGCAATTGGTGGTCATCATTGAAATAACTATCCTCAGGATTAGTTCAACTTTTTGGAAAACTAATTTCCGTAATAGCAATTTTTGTTTTAACACAGCCTTGTTGCCCATGATTTGGACTTATTGAATGCTTTAAAATCTTGATAAAACGTGAAATAAAGAAACCCTCTCCCTAGGACGCTCTATTTAAAAGCTAAAATCGAGTACATTCTTTAAACGTTGGTACTTTGTAAACCGAGCAACTTTGTCGAAGACTGTAGAGCTGTGGAAAATATGCTCACGGATCTAGAGATTTGCCATGCTATCGGCCACACACACTCGCGCACACACACATGCACTCATGACTATAAACAGAACATCAAATGCTAGATCCCTCGAAAAGAACTAAACTTATCTTTGTTTGAAGTTGGTTGGAAATGCTATCTAACATGAATCTTTAATGTGATAATTTATTAGCTAGAGAATGGTCTTAGAATAGGGTAGGTAGATAGTTCCCTTAGAGTGAGGCAGCATGAAAATTGAATAGAAGTACAAATACACGAACTCATCGACCACCTTAAATTCGTCACCGTCAATCTGAACTCGGGGTGGGTCGCTAACATTGGCTTCCCTACAACCTCTTCCTTTCATGTATTTTGTCTTTGATGCGTTGATGGCAAGTCCAATTCGCCTAGCCTTCAGTCTGATGTACGTTTCCGCCATCGTCTCAAAGTTCCGTGCCGTGATGCCGATGTCATCGGTGAAGCCAAGAAGCTGGATGGACTTCCTGAAGATCGTGCCACTCGTGTCTATCCCTGCTCTTCTGATCACACCTTCTAACGCGATGTTGAATAGCAGACACCAAAGTCCATCACCTTGCCGTAACCCCCTTCGAGATTCAAAGGGACTCGTGAGTGACCCCGATACTCGAATAACGCACATCACTCGATCCTTCGTCGCCTTGACCAATCGCGTCAGTTTATCCGGAAATCCGTACTCGTGCATAATCTGCCATAGCTGATCTCGATCGATTGTGTCGTATGCGGATTTGAAATCGATGAACAAATGAAGTGTGGGCACGTTGTATCCGCGGCGTTTCTGCAGAACCTGGCGAATCGCGAAAATTTGATCCGTGGTAGCGCGGGCACCCATGAATCCCGCCTGGTATTGCCCCAAGAACTCTCTTGCAAATGGTGACAGGCGGGGGCATAGAATTTGGGAGAGTACCTTGTAGGCTGCGCTCAGCAGTGTGATTGCGCTGTAGTTGCAGCAATCCAACTTGTCGCCCGTTTTGTAGATTGGGCATACGACACCTTCCATCCACTCCTCCGGTAGTATCTCCTCCTCCCAAATCTTGGCAATCATCCAGTGCAGCGCTCCAGCCAGTGCCTCACCACCGTATTTTAATAGCTCACTTGGTAGTTGATCTACACCAGTTGCTTTGTTGTTCGTTATCCTCCTCAACTTCTTGAAGATCAGGGGCCGGTAGTCTGTCGTCTTCTGCGCGTGCTCCAAGGTCTGTTGCCATGCCACCTTCGTTTCTGCTGCATCATCGTTGAGCTGCTCGTCATAGTACTGCTTCCTCTTCTCAATCACCTCACATTTGTTCGTGAGAAGGTTACCGTCCAAGTCCTTGCACATATCGGCTTGCGTCACGTAGCCCTTGCGCGAACTATTTAGCTTCTCGTAGAACTGCCGTGTGTCGTTTACGCGGTACAGATTTTCCATCGCCTCGCGATCCTGGTCTTCCTGCTGACGCTTCTTCCTTCGGAAAACCGAGTTTTGTTTGTTACGCGCTTGTCTGTCGTTTTGTCGCTTGTCGAGTGTTTTGAGCGCATGCATACTGCAACTTAGTAGTGATCCTAATCTAAGGCCTGAACTCGAAAAAAATGCACCAGACAAAAGTGTTCGCCAAAAATTTATTTTAAGTCGGATTTTCTTGAAACTTTCAGGCCAGAGCAAGTATTTTTTGGCAAATTTGTCCACTTTCTTCTTCCTTATGTCTTCCGGAACATCAAACCGTGATTTGGCAACGTAGAACTCCAGCCCCGGTATCTGCTTTGCGTCTGCCTTGATGCAGGTTTCGTCATCCATAACCACACACACCGGTTTCGTTAACCACTCTCGATACAGTTTCCTTGCGCGGGATTTGGCCGCCGTGTTTTGTTGATCACGCCGGTTCGGTGCCTTCCGGACCTTGAATACACGAAGCCCAGCTTGTTTCATGGTTTGCTGAACGAACCAGGCGGAACACTTTGCCTTCAGAGCCGCGTCGCGAATCGAAAGGTTCGGATTACGCTTGAAATAATCCAACATCTTGCGGGCCTTCACAGGGTCAGCTGTTTTCAATTTTCTTCCACTTCCAGCCCGCCACTCGATCGTCTGGAACTCCTTAAACGATTTTACCACCCGAGACACAGTTGTATGGGTGATTCCCAGTTGTCTTCCGATCCATCTCATGGTCGCAGTCGGATTTTCCATTTTCTTCTTGTTTCGATGACATCTCAATAACCACTGAACCGATTGTTGTGAAATTTTGCACATGTAAACAATTCACTCCAAACTAGTTATACCCAGATTTTCATCAATTTTTAACCACGGATAAAAATTGTGCATTTTTTTCGAGTACAAGACTTATGTTCGCACTGCGGTACGTGCGGACGTTGGTAATGTCGGAGAAGAATTTCCCGTCGATTAGAACGTGGTCGATTTGGTTTTCTGGGTGTTAGTCAGGTGATCTCCAGGTGTCTTTGTGGATATCCTTGCGGGGAGAAAAGGTACTTCGGACTATCATACCACCGGGTGGTGAATGTGCCGGCTTCTATGCCAACTGCTGAGTCCTAGTCGTCGCCATTGGCGATGGCGATGATGACGATAATAGAGATTCACCAATGAAGCGATTGGTTGTTGTTGTTGGTGGTGATATGGATGGTGATGATTATAATAGAGATACATCAATGAAAAGGTTGGTTGTGATCCAAGAGGGTTCGTTTTCACCTTATATATCCAGTATTGAATGCTATTAGCCATGAAAATTCTGGGGTGCGATTTTGTGCGATTACGTTATGTCAAATGTAATGGTCTTGGAAAAATATGTTTGAAACGATGCAACAAAACAGGGTGGTACCTTCAGCAAAGTTGCAATTGTAGGAATACGCCTGTAAAAATATAAAATATATCTTCTTAAGAGTTTCAATTTTTGACTAATAAAAAACTTTGTAGAAGACAATAAATTAATAATTAAAAAGATACATTTTTAATAGCAGTTCAGTACAAGATTATAACAATTCCTTTTTAACCAAAAAATGGCGTTGTTATATCAACAAACATTTCCAAAGACACAAAATTACTGACACGAGTTGGAGTTATAAATGTGTGCATTGAAATCAAAATTTCGTTGAAGCTATCCTCCGAATTTCATTTACTTTTAATTTTCCATGGAATTACCATAAAATTCTCCTCAGCAAGAAACCCTTTGGAAAGATTCCTTTTGAATTTCACACCCTTGGAATTGTACTGACATTGAATGCCTCCTAACAAATTCATCAGATTTCCTCATAATTTGTTGGCGAATTCTTTTGATTTAATTGTAATCCTTCTTTTAGCCAAATGCCAAAAAACTTATGCTCCGGAGTCGTTTTCCCCAACAAACTTCATGGAATTATCTTAAGAATGCCCTTGGAAGTTTTCTCTGAAGTTCACAGGAGTTCAGCTCCTCAGAAATTTCTTTGATATTTCATTATAATTTACTACGAATTCATTTCAAGGACTCCTTTTTTTTTACTCTTTATTTGTTCCAAATTCAAAATAAATTACATTTCATTTTAACCTAGGTGCTCCAGTTACTACAGTAACTTACCAGTCTTAATTGTTATGATATATATCTAAGTGTTTTTACATTGTTCCTGTCTTGGCAATTCAGTATTTTAAACAGGTTTTTTAAACCTGCATGTCAGTATAACAATTGAAATCTTAAAACTAATAACTAAAACTAAATCTTATCTAAGTATAAAGGGAATTAATCGTTGCAATTGAGGATTGCAACGATTTTTGCCTGAAATTATTAATTATTTTGTTGGACATTTGTTCTAAAGTCTCAACATTCGAAATTCTATGTGCCTCGGTAGTACTGTACCAGGGAGGCAACTTCAAATTCATCTTCAGAACTTTGTTCTGAATCCTTTGAAGTGCTTTTTTCCTTGTAGTGCAACAACAAGACCATATTGGCACAGCGTAAAGCATGGCCGGTCTAAAAACTTGTTTAAATATTAGAAGTTCATTCGTCAGGCAAATTTTTTGGATTTCCTGTTTAAAAGACGATACAAACATTTTATATATTTGTTACATTTGGCTTGAATGCCCTCAAAGTGATCTTTAAAAGTTAATTTTTGGTCAAGTATTAATCCAAGATATTTCACTTGGTTTGACCAGGAAATTGGAACTCCGTTCATAGTGACTATATGACTACTACTAGGTTTCAAAAAGGAAGCTCTAGGCTTATGTGGAAATATTATAAGTTGAGTTTTGGAAGCGTTGGGAGAAATCTTCCATTTTTGTAAATAAGAAGAGAAAATATCTAAACTTTTCTGCAGTCTGCTGCAAATAACACGAAGACTTCTTCCTTTAGCGGAAATGCCTGTGTCATCAGCGAACAAAGATTTGTGGCAACCCGGAGGCAAATCAGGGAGGTCCGAAGTGAAAATGTTATACAATATAGGCCCAAGAATGCTACCCTGAGGAACCAATATATAGTGACCAAGAATCCTCGGCTCTGTAAAGTTAATTCGTTTGAGCCTTATCACATAAATTAATTAACAACAAAATCTCATGAAATCTAAAATTCCTCAAAAATTCCTTGAAAGCTAATTTTACACACTAATCCAGGCATCCACAGTTCGGTCAATATTGAACTACGGAACTGATCGGTAAAAGTTTAAAATTTAATGCAGTAATGAAATTTGTTTGTTAGCGGAATGCTTAAATAAAACAGCAAAAAAAGGAGTTATCTTCCATTTAATTCCACTCAATTCATTTTGACAGATACATATTTCGACTAAAGGGTGTCCCACATCAAATTGCATCACGTAGAAAACGCTGTAGAAAATTGCCTAGTTGACCGATTCTTTTCAAACTTTCAGACAATAAAATATAATCCAATAGTAAGCTTTTGGCATATTTCTTTCATTCATCTTCAATACCATACGTACGCTCGCACCTTACGCTTAACTCCACTCATTAGGTTCTGTACAACATCTGGCGGCAGCTTCTTCTGTACGGAAACCCACTTTGTCTTCATGTCTTCGTCAGATTTGACCTTCTTGGGATGCTTCCGTAGTGCCTGCTTCACAATAGCCCAGTATTTTTCGATGGGTCTTAGTTCCGGTGAGTTGGGAGGGGTTCATGTCCTTGGGTACGAAAGTGACCCCGTTGGCTTCCTACCACTCCAGGACAACATTTGAATAGTGACACAAAGCTAGATCCAGCCAGAAGATCGTAGAGCCCTCGTGTTGCTTCAACAAAGGAAGCAGACGCTTCTGTAGACACTCCTTGAGGTAGATCTCCCCGTTTACAGTCCCGGTAGTCACAAACGGCGCACTCCGTTCGCCACATGAGCAGATCGCTTGCCAAATCATGTATTTCTGGGCAAACTTTGAAAGTTTCTGCTTCCTTACTTCCTCCGGAACATCAAACTTGTGCTGGGCGGTGAAGAACAGTAGCCCCGGAATCTGCTGGAAGTCCGCCTTGACGTAAGTCTCATCATCCATGATGAGGCAATGAGGCTTCGTCATCATCTGAGAGTACAGTTTCCGAGCCCACGACTTTCCCACCGTATTTTGCCGTTCGTCACGATTTGGAACCTTTTGTACTTTGTACGTATGCAGTCTCTTCTGGTCCTTGGCTCTCTGAACGAAAGACTTAAACAGATTCAAGTGTTTGGACACATCCCTGACCGAAGCATTGGGATTCCGCTTAAACGCTTTCACGACACGCTTGTGATCCTGATCACTAATAAAACATCTATTCTGACCGCATTTCTCCTTCCGTTCGATGCTCAGAGTTTCGTTATCACACGACTCATCGATGACTGCACGATTCCGAGATGTTTTCCGATGTCCCGATGAGAGGGTTGAGGATTCTCCAGGTGCTTGCACAAAATCAATTCGCGACGTTGCTTTTCGGGTAACGCCATTTTTTCCAACTTTCGAAAAACTGACAGCGATAAAAATTCAATGTAAACAATACACTCTAAACTACTCCTACCCAAATTGTCAAGAGAAAATACCCAATGGGTAATTTTCTACAGCGTTTTTTACCGTGATGCAATTTGATGTGGGACACCCTTTACAATGTGCAGTAGACTGATGCAAAATTAGACATTTTTGCTCCACAGCGCTCAAACGGTTCCAAATTGGGCCCTGATTAGCCTCCCAAAATTTGAACTAATTTAGTAAGAAACTGACTTGGCACAAACCATTTGAAGTTTATATGGGAATTACTATGGAGAAACCATAATTTTGATTCATTTCTATCTCAAAATTCACCAGTTCACTCTACTTTAAAAAATGATAGCTGAGCTTGTTGAAAAATTTCTCAGCTACAACTTTGTTCAAGACTACTTTTCGATCAAATGTAAGGAACAAAAGTTATCAAAGGTTCAATGCGCTGATGTCTTATGATCATGCTCAATCAACTGTTCAGCAGGAAACATTGGTGTTTATGGCGCGTAGAATAGAGGACAAAAATCATGGCTACTATGTCACACTGCAGAATACAGTGTTGCCCACAATAAATTTGCTTAATCTTGCCATCTTGACTATCAATCTCTTAAACAATTAATAACT